CTGCGGTAACTGCCAGGGCACAATCAAGGTCTCAGTTGCCCAGAAAGGCACCCAGATCCCAACGGGAGCTGACTCTGAAATGCTATCAATGACTGTCCCGAGTGCAGTGGAGAACCCGGCAGGCTCCCAGCCTGCTGCCAATGCAGCACCCGCAGAGAGCCGGAGGTGGGCTTTCCCAGGCAAGGCTGGCACTCCCTGCTGCCTCCCCCTCCCTCTCCTGCTTCCTCCCTCTGCCACTTGTCTTGGCCTGACCCTGGCTTGGATCTTATCAATCCACCCTTTATGCTGGGGGCTACTGGGCAGGCAGGGAGCCGTGTTCTCTGGGGTTCTGGAATAAAGACGTCTAAAGAGCTGAGGCGGCCACTCAATTAGCTGGGAAGGAGAAACACAAAGCAGGGAGCGGGAGGCTGGGCCTGTTTTCTGCGGTCTGTGGGAAAGGCTGCAGGAAAGGGGCCGATTGTGCAGATGGAGGAAGAGGTGGTTCTCAGGCCCGGGACACATCTCTGAGAACGTTCCTGCAGGGCACTGACCCCAAAGGCCCTCCTCCAAAGGCCAGGCAGGGACCAGCCCCAGGAGGGCTCCTCTCTCCACACGGAACCCCGTACCGAGGGCCAGCCCAATGCAAGGCACTCTTGGGGATACGGAAGAGGAAGAGGCCACATGAGCCTCAGAACATGACGAGAGATAAGGTCAAACCCTCGGGCAGTGCCTCTGTGCCCAAGCGGAGAGGACCCTGCTGCTGCCACTCTCAGCCTTCTCCATGGGGACTCAAGAGCTCTGAGTTCTGGCCGCCAGAGCAGTGTGACCCTGGGCGGATCCCTGGTCTCCCCGGGCCTCAGTTTCCCCATCTGAATTGCAATGGAGATGGACAAGATGTTCGCTATGTGCCCCTCCATGGGAATTGTTTCAGCTTTCTGATCCTGCCTCCAGGATTCCACCTGTCCAGGCCTCGAGGCTTGGACCACTGTGGTAAGAGATCCAAGACGGGTTCTGCCTGCCCCTGTAAAGCTGACCGTGCTCAGGAGGTGCAGAGGAGACCTCAGGCTGGGTCTCCATCCGCCAGAGAGAAGCCGGGTCTGAGCCAGATCTGGGTAAGAACTTGGGCACCCTGCCCAGGTGCCCCACATGGCAGGGCCCCAGGCGGGGACGCCCAGGCAGTGTCTGAGGCTGTCCAGGCAGAGGTGTTGGGTGGGTGCCTTAGCCCCCGTGGAAAGCGTTTCTCTAAGGACCCCCAGAGGTTTCGCTGGTTTTGGCTGGCAGGGCCGGGATGACCACCTGTTTCCATATCACGGAGAAGGCATTACCTGCACTCATCCACTCTGACCCTTCGGAAGCCTTTCCTGCCAGCCCCCACCCCCACCGCCATCAGAGGCTGCGGGGACAGGCGGGTCCTCTGCCCCCCACTGTCCCAATGACCTCCTCCTGCTACCTGGCCTCAGACTCTGAGCTTCTTGAGGACAAGGGTCCTATGGGGCCTCTTTCTGGCTGCTAGTTCTAGCTCCAGCCTGAAACACCACCCCCTGTGGCATTTGGGAAGGGCGGGCGGGAGTGGCAAACGGAGGGAGGCCCAGCAAATCCCTTGACCCATAAAGGGCTTCACTGGGCTGGAGACCAGGGGAGCTGAGCACCTTGCTTCCAAACCACAAACGCTCCCCAGGGGGTGTGGTTTCCCGGGAGGAGGGGCGTGGAGCCAGCCCTGGCAGCGGCCTCGGCAGGTCCCCCCCGACCCCCCACCCCGTGCCCTCGCCTCTCTGTGGCCTCCACGCTGCCACCCTTCTCCAGCTGGGCTTCATGCTCCATCTAGAAAGGCCTAGAAAGGCCTAGAAAGTCTCCAGGGCCCAGTGCAAGGCTGTCTTTGTGTGAAGGTCAGATTCCAGTGCCCTGGGGCCCGGCTTCGAGCAGCTGTTCCTGGGAGTGTAGCCAGTGGGGCAGCTCAGAGCTCAGCCTGGGGACCAGAGTTCAGGACCTCAAACTTTTGGGGAACTCAGAGCGACCTGGGCGCCTCTGAAGGCTTCAGAGTGAACCTTAATTCCTGTGGACAAGACTCCCAGAGCTCCTCAGAGGGGCTGCCAGGGTCCGCAGTTAGATGGAAGGGAGGCAGGGGCTGGCCAGACCTGGAGGGGTCAGACCTGGGAGACCAGACTGCACAATGTTATCTAGGTCCCCAAGACGCGGTGTGGCCAGTTAAGAGTTCCACCTTTACCAGCTGTGTGACTCTGAGAAAATCACTAACCCTCTCTGAGCTCTGTTTCCTCTACCAAATGGGAATGATACATGTGCCTTTCTGCTGCTGATAGGACGATAAAATGAAGGAATACAAGGTCCCTTAACTGGGCTGATTCAGGGCACAGCTGTGTGGGGAAGGAGGACTTTACGCTCTCCCACTCCCCCAAATCCCTCCTCCCCAGCAGTCTTTGATAGGCATAGTTGCCTTTTCTCCATCTTATCAAAAGTGCTTTGTGAAAGGGCAGCTTCCACCTCCCTCCCAATCTGTGCCAGCCCCAATCTCCCGTCCCGTACAGAGACTAGAGCCCGGGGCTCCCAAGCCTCTGGGGAGTCAACAAGAAAGAGTCCAAGCTCTGCTCCAGGCCCGGCCCACGGTGGACACTCTCTCCACAAGGATCTGCAACTCACCCACGCTCTAGTGCAGAGGATCCCCCTGTACCCCCAGAGATGCCAGCGATGCAGGAGAGGGCGCTGGACAGAGAATGGCCCCCGAGCCAGGCCTACAGGAGCCCATGAAGCCTGCTCGACACTGCCCTGGGCGGCACCTGGGGTCCCCCAGGGGCCTCCGCTCTGGGCGCCTGCTGACAACCACGGTGACTCCTCAACCCGTCCCAAACTGTCCCTTTCTCCTTGTCACCAGCGCTGGAAGCTGAACTCCCAAGGGAAGAGCACTCGGGCCAGACCTCTAAGCCTAGAGGGAGCTTGAGGTTCTGAGGACAGCTGGAGGCCCTTCTAACACAGGGGGCCCACCCTGGCCCCCAGCTCCCGGAGAGCAGCCCTCCTTCCTCAGCCTCTCCCTGCCCTTTACAGAGGACCTGTCTGCCCTCAGACCGGGGGTTCTTTGAGGGCAAGAAAGAAGATTGTCCATCCCAGTCTCCCTCACAGCCCAGCACACAGGATGGGGGATCCGGGCCACGCCCGCCTCGGCCATCCCTGCCAACTTCCCAAAGTCCCGATACACTAGAGGAGCCTTGGCACCTCCCCTGCAGTGCCCACCCAGTCCCTGCCTCTCCACCAAATCCAGGGCCTTCTCCATGCTCCCATCTGGCCCCTGGCTGCTCCGATGCTGCTACCCCAGCCCTGTCTGAGGGGACCCTCTCTGGGACTCCCTCCCCTGCTTGTTTAAAACCTGTCCACAGCCAGGCGCGGTGGCTCACGCCTGTAATCCCAGCACTTTGGGAGGCCGAGGCAGGTGCATCACGAGGTCAAGAGATCGAGACCATCCTGGTCCACGTGGTGAAACCCCGTCTCTACTAAAAATACAAACAATTAGCTGGGCATGGTGGCGCGTGCCTGTAATCCCAGCTACTCAGGAGGCTGAGGCAGGAGAATTGCCTGAACCCAGGAGGCGGAGGTTGCGGTGAGCCGAGATCACGCCATTGCACTCCAGCCTGGGTAACAAGAGCGAAACTCCGTCTCAAAAACAAACAAACAAACAAACAAAAAACCTGTCCATGCTGCGTGTCTGCCACTGCACAGCTGCCAGATGACAGCCGTTCAGATGAAGCCACGGAGGCCCGCAGGGCTGGGGATTATGTGTTTCTCCCTGGGGATGCCAGGTGCTTTTCAGGGGCTCCAAGGGACACGGAGCCTCCCCACACTGGCTCCCTTCTGCCCCTGGAACTACAGGAATGCCAGTATCACTCACTCTCGGGGCGTGCTGAGCTGCAGGGCTCTGCTGTGGCCCAGTCCCCTGGTGCCAACACCTGCTCTTTGAGCAGCCCAGAGAAGGGATTCCAAAGCCTGGAGCGTCTGAGCCAGCTGGCGTGACTTGTCCCAGGTGGCTCAGCAAGCCAGCGAGATGCCTTGGAATCCTGGGAAGATGAACACGGGAGGCTCCCTGGACCCAGCTGGCCCTGGCCCTGGCCTCCCTCCAGTGCCTTTCAAACCAGTCTCAGAAACCGGTTGGTCGTCTTCTTGGCCGGATCCCCTCTCCTTTACCTCTGGGGTGGGGGCGGGGCACGAGAGGAAAGACCCACCCCCACAGCTCAGGCCAGATCCCTGCCAAGGCCACCCGAGACACTGGGCCTGGGGTGGGGCAGCTGGTCCGGCGGCAGTGGCCCTCCGTGCTGGGTACCTGTGGTTTCCTTTACGATTTTTGTTTTGTTTTGTTTTGTTTTCATGAATGAGCGGTTCTTATTTTACCCAGGTTGGCCTTGAACGCACAGCCTCGCCTCCTCAAGCGCCAGGACAACGGCCCGAGCCACCACGGCCCCCTCCCTTCCGTTTTATAACTTCCATTGTTGCTACAATGTTGTGCAGCCGACAAAAGTGCACAAAAGCTGTATTATTATCATTCTGATGACTCTTCAGAGTAAACAACCCTGCCTTCCTTAAGGCACAATTTATCTGATGGTGAAGATCAAAAGAACACGCGATGTGTCAAGCCGCCAAAACAAACTTTTCTACCCTGAGCCATCTGCCTGCCCCTCACCGCGCTTAATCAGCCCCCAAATCCCAGGGCTTTTTGTGTTTACCTGGGCTTCCTCCTGTCCTTCAGCCACCCTGGGCTGGAGATCCGAGTTCCCAAGCCCTGGCCCCCAGTGGTGTCCTAGCTGTCACCTTCCCAACCTTCTTGAAGAAAAAAATCTCCCCACCCCCATTGCTTTCCATCACACCTGCCCTGCTGGTGGCCATGAGGGAGGGGGTTTGGTGGGGTCCCCGGGAGTGGCTCCTCCTCGCAGTTCTGTGTGGTGGTCCCCCCTACCCCTCCAGCACACCCAACACAGTGTAGCTTCCTGCTCTGCCCCACCCGCAGCCCCCAGCTGGCTTACCTGGAGTGTCCCACTGGGCCTTGGGTACCTTCTCTGGCACGGAAAACTCGAGAGCATGGTTCAGGGACTCTTTGGAGAGCGGCTGCCCATCAGTCAGTGAGCTGGGTTGGTGGAGGGCCCTGGAAAAACATTCATTAGAACGTGGGGGACTGGCCTGGGCTGGGGAACTCTGGCCTGGCACAATCTCAGCACCCTCAGGGGCCATTGGCATCTCTGTCTCCTGCACATGCTGGGGCCATCCACAGAGGAGTCCACAGTGGGAGTCACGGGACAAGACCTCAGTGGTTGTAGGGGCTGCCCCTGCCCCCACCCAGCCTCCCTGCAGGTTCTGAGGGCTCGGGAGAAAGAGGAGTCCAGCCCTGCTGTGCTCCCTGTCACCGTGTGACCCTGGGCAAGTTCATGCCTCTCTCGGGCTCTCAACGTCCCCACCTGGAAGAGAAAGGGGCTGAGGTCTGCACTGGAGGATTCTGAACCCCACTCCTGGAGAGGGCAGGCTTCAGGGGCGGGGGTGCCCCCACCTGTCACTCTCTGCACCCACCAGTCCACAGCCATGCCCTGAAACTCTGAGTGGAGCTTCAGGTACTCCCAGGGCTCGCAGGGGTCCAATTCAGGCCCCCAGTGAGGGCCTCCCCTCTTCCGTGCCACTGTGGGTGCACCCCACGTCTGCTGTCTCCATGGGGAAGACAGGCTTCCTAGCTTCACTCCTGGCCCAGATCCCCTGGCCTCCCAGGCTCGGTGACCTGGCTAAAGGGTCTCTCCTTTTGGCCAGCCCATGCGTTTCCTGGGTTTCTGGGCTTTGATGATCATCTCTGCCTGACTGCCCTTTGGCACCACCTGGCCAGACCTCAGCCTCCTGGATGGCTGAGCTGATGGATTTCAAGACTGCACAGAGTCGCACGGTGACACAACTCCAGAGACACATTTCGCAAGTCAACAACTACGTGAAGCCGAATCCGCTGGAGTTGTGCAGCCTGCGACCTGCGCAGCTCGTCAGTGTCCCTGAGGGCAGGACCGTGGCTCCGGGGAGTCCCGGGTGTCTGTCAGTCAGGGTGCGGCCGGCGCGCCCCCGCCCAGCTCCCGGGAAGCCGGGTCAATTACCTGCTTCGCACACACCGCCTCACTCCTTGTCGGTACTGCAGGTTCCGAACAAAACTAAGTTTGTGAACACAGCCAGGCCCACCCGGCGGCAGTCTGTTTAAGAACCTGAGATGGGTTTTAAAGCGAAAGATATCAGAAGGTTATGAAGGTGGGGGGCACGGGGAGGAGGGGGCTGACTGGGGAACCGAAATGGCGCTGTTCTCGGGAAATCTGTGAGCCAGGCCTGGGCCACCGGGCTGGAGCAGCCCTTCCATTGCTGTGGCGACCCGCTCCAGGGAGGTTGGAGAGAAACCGAAGAGATGGCAAAGTGGGCTTCTGGGCCGAGGCCTCCTGGAGGGGCGGACAGAGGCGCCTGAAGGCGGCGGAACTCGCCCTGCTGACTTTGGATCCCTGGTTAGGGCTCTCTGCGACAGGCAGGTAGCAGCAGCTTCCACTTGGGGCTGCAGTGTTACCAAACGGCCCCTGAGCTCTGGGTTCAGGCAGCGATGGCCAAGGAGGGACATACACGCGTGGCTAGGCTCAGGGGCCCGCCCCGCGGTCATCTGGGGAAGACTGCGAACTTGGCGGATGCCCCGCCGCATCTCGGCCTGTGTCCTCAGGAGACGGTAGACAGCAGGGTGGACAGCAGCCCGGGTTAGAGTTAGCCGCTCTCATCCGCCTCTGAGATCGCCAGCCGGGCGGCCACCCCCACGTTAGCCAGGCGGGGGACTGTCCTTGGCCGCCAGCTCCCACCATCTGCACTGCGTCCTCACAAACCAACCTGCTTTTAAATCCTCCTTATTAAAAGGTATCAGCAGCACTTCTGTCCCCACAATAAAATGAGTGTAAACAGGTTCTGGTTTTAAAATAACTCCACAACGACTAAATGAAAAGACAGCCACCGAAGGAAGCCAAGGGTGAAGCGTAGTCATCGTGATTAGAACCTTCTGTTTGTAGGGAGGGTGAGCCTGTTGGAATCACCTTCTCGCTGTGGGTGGGTGCCTTTTCCTGGAGGGCCAGTACCCAGTATCAGACTCCTTGCTGCTCAGACACTGATCCTGTCCAGCAATCGTTCAATGAGAGGGTGGCCCCTGGCCCTCTCCAGCATCTGTTTAACGAGAATACCTTTCTGCTCCCTGCGGCTGGCCCAAGGCGCGTCTTCAACTCTCTATGCCCTAGGCTTACAGAAATTGGGGTGCATGATTAACAGAATATCAAAACCTAATTTTCCAAATGAACTAAGCTTGATCTTTTCCTTCCTAGGGGCTTTGAGAGGCGGTTCCTTTAAGGAGATGTCATCTGAAATAGAATGTGCTAAACCTCCAGTGGCTTTTTCCTGCTCACTCAGGGTTATAACGAGTAACAGGCTTTCCTGACCTGACTTGTCACACAGAAGCAAGTGAAACTGCTGGGGCCATCTGCCTCTGCTCGTCGTGACTGCTGTCTTACACTTGCTGTTCGTAATCGTCGTTTTTCAGTTTTTATTTTCTATGTACGTATGTATTTTTGAGACGGAGTCTCGCACTGTCGCCCGGCTGGAGTGCAATGGTGTGATCTCAGCTCACTGCAACCTCCACCTCCCAGGTTCACGCGATTCTCCTGCCTCAGCCTCCCGAGTAGCTGGGATTACAGGCGCCTGCCACCACACCCAGCTAAATTTTTTGGATTTTTAGTAGAGACAGGGTTTCACTATGTTGGCCAGACTGGTCTCGAACTTCTGACCTTCTGATCTGTCTGCCTCAGTCTCCCAAAGTGCTGGGATTACAGGCATGTGCCGCCATGCCTAGCTGTATTTACTGTATTTGTTTATTTATATGTTGCAGACAGGGTCTTGCTCTGTCACCCAAGCTGGAGTGCAGGGGAACAATCACCACTCACTGCAACCTCCAGGCCTCAGCAATGCTCCCCTCTCAGATTCCCGAGTAGCTGGGACTACAGGCCCGCACCACCAAACCTGGATAACTTTTGTACTCTTTGTAGAGACAGGGTCTTGTGATGCTGCCACAGCTGGTCTCCAACTCCTGGGCTCAAGCGATCCTCCCGCCTTGGCCTCCCAAAGTACTGGGATCGCAGGCGTGAGCCACCATGCTCGGCCATTTTCCAGTTGACAATCCTCGCCTCTGTGACTAGCCGCCAACGTCTGCCGCCGAAAGCAGCTGGCTTCCAGCCTCTCATCTCACTCCTACGTTCCCATTTCTCTTTGTAACAGATAGAAAACGAACAGCCAAGCTCGTTAGAACCGTAGGTTACTGGAGGACACGTCCCACGATGGACCTATCACGTGCTCCTCGAAGAAAACTGGGGAGCCGCCCCGACTCTGGTTCCTCTAAAGCATTTTGGGCCCTGCTCCTGACTCTCGCTGCCGTTCTAGGAAGGACCGGGGGCCGCAGCTGATCTACAGGTGAGTGGACGCTGCCATCGTGGGGTTCACCAAGGGCGCCCCGAAGGTGACTAATGGGTCATTCCCGTCCTTCTGGAAAATTATGCTCCTCCTGGAAGGCAGCGCCCCGGAGGCTGACCGAAGTCACATAGCATGATGGAGTGACCACAACGGTGGGAGAACGGCCGGAGGCGGCGGACTGGCTTCTGTCTGGGTTTCGAATTCCCAGGAGGAAGAAGGGCCGACAAGGACAGCCCCCCGCCCCCCACCTTCACCCAGATGAGGACAAGGAATCGTTTTCGGCCCTCAGCTCACGTCTGAGCTTCACACGGGAAACTCATTGCCTTGCTCCCCTTTCACAGAAAACAAACAACTTTATCCGCACCTACCCAGCAGCACGGGAGCAACAGAGCAAAAGGCGTGTCTGGGCAAATATGATGTAAGATGTGTGTGAGGGTGCAGAGGAGCCCGGGAGCGTCTGCGCGACGCCTTTCTCTTAACCGTCTCTTGCTAGATTGGGGTCTCCTTACTCCTTCTACCTTGCCAGAGGAGCTGATGGGGACCATTTGAACACAGAACCTCCCAAGCGTCCTTCAACTCCTCCTCCAGGAAGCCCTCCTAGACTTCCCCAACACCCTCTCACCCCTATGGCTCTTGGACACTCAGGTTTGGGCTCTGGCTCACACATGGCTTGAGAGCTGGGGCCACTTCTGATTCAGCTCCGTCCTCTGCCCGTGAGTACTCACTGTTGGAGCTCAGTGTATGTTGATTGCACCTAACCCTTCTCAAGTTGTCACTATGTGTGTGACGCATAAATTGAGGAGGACCCTCATTTCCCAGGTGAATGCTTCATAGATGAGGATCCATTTCCTATTTATTTGTGTTGCCCTCTCTTCTCACTCAGCCTTCGGCCACCAGACCACTCTCATGTATGCAGTAGGTACTCCATGAATGCTTTCTTGAAACAGGATGGCATCGAAGTTCACCAGTCTGTCTGCCTGCTTGGGCTCAGCTCACTTTACAAGCTGCGTTACCACGGCCGAGGCACGGTTCCTCTCTGGCCCTCAGTTTTCTGCCTGTATCGTGTGGCTAGCGCAAAGAGAAGGTGATACATGAGAAGTGCTTAGTACCTACTGAGCTCTCATCATTATTACCCGTGGGCTTTCGTGAAGCTTTTGGGGAGCGAGAAGAAAAAGGTAATTTGGCAAGATTGAGAGGATGGCCGACAGAATAAAAAACCCCAAACCCAAGTCTGGGGGGGTCCAGTTTCCCTGCCAACGACTCTCCCTGGGAGACTGTCTGGGGGCTGGGAGGTGGGAGACGGTGGGCTCCTTGTTCCTTACTCGGTCCTCAAGAAGGAGCTGGCCGACCTGAGCAGGAGCGCCTCCGGCATGGTGCCTGAGGGGAGGCTGCAGCCTGTGAGCTTGCCCGGGAGAGAGCCAGAACCTCAGAGAACGTGTCGCGGAGTCCCCCCGGGAGCGCCACAGCACCTTCCGAGAGGCCCAGCTCCACTGGACCGCCCTGCAACAGAGATACAGCGTGAGTCACCGCCGGCAGCCCGGCTGGGTGAGGGGACACCTGCCCTCCTTCCTGGGCATGACTCATCTGCTCCAACTGTAATTTACGGCCTCCCAAGCCCACACCCACAGATTCCATGGAGGACAACACAGGCGTCGCAGGAGGCGGCTGCCTTGGGGCTGTGGTCCCCATTCTCCAAGGCCAGCTCACGGGCAAACCAAATCACATCTCCAGGACTCCCGCTCTGCAGAGACTTCTGGCTGCCACTCACCAGCCTCCCGGTCACTCTGGCAGTTCTCACCCCTCTCTGCTCAGTAGGCAAAGCAGAACGGAATCCCCAGTGGCTGGAGAATGTTCTCCATGGAAGGTGTTGCCTAACTAGCTCCCCGCATCCTAAAATCCCCAAACAGGGAGAAGAGGAGCGTCTCCTCCCAGCCCCGCAGTGCTGGTCACACGGGCCTGTGCACAGCCTGAGGCTCCCGGTAGCAACCACACAGCCTGATGGGGAGTTTCACGCCGGCCTCCCCATCTTCCTGCACAGCGGGCCCCACGCCCCCGCTTCTCCTTCGTCTGCATGACTACCTCACCTCAAAGATCAGACCGCTGGTGGTGGCTCCCTCCTGATTCCCAATTCCCAGCCTGAAGACTCCCGCAGAGGACTCACGGTAGAGGGTGTGCCTGGAGGTCGGGCTGCCCCGGGGTGCTCACCTGCCTCCTTCGTGCACCTGGCAGGCGCAGGACTCAGCATCCCCTCTGCTCCCTCAGCTAAGGCATGCTGAGTATGGGAGCCAGTGGCCGTGAATGCCCAAGGTTCCGGGTGATGAGGCCATGGGGTTGGGCATAAGTTGGGGACCCGCCCCAGCCCGCCCTGGGGCTGCCGTCGAGGTGTGGTCCCAGATACCTCTGACCTACATGGCACGGACCCCAGCTGCCCACCTGTGTGGCTCTTACGTAAGAAAGGCGGGCGGCAGGAGAGAGACCTGCCAGTCTGGGCACGAGAGACAGTTTGTTGCCCGTCATCCTTGGCAGACACGGTTCCTGCCACCGGGTCCTCTAGAGCTGGGCGAGAAGCTTGCCTTTCTGTTTGCTTTGCTTCTGTACTAAGCACACATGCTATGTCGAACGCTTTGCGTTGGCTCCTCCCATTCTCTCCACCGCCCTGCAGAGTGGATTCTATTAATAGTCACGTTTTCCAAAAGAGATGATGGAACTCCAGACTTGCTCAGTGTTGTCCAGGTAGCAAGAGGCAGAGCCAGCATCGCGAAGCCGGGTCTCTACGCCGGCTCTGAAGCCGGGATGCTATCTACGTACACAAGGTTTACCCGGTCTGTGCATGTCATAAAACTCAGCCAGCCACTCCAGCTCCCCATCCCCTCTGGAGAGCCCCTATTCCATGGTAACAAATGTCCCTGCACCTTGCCCTGTGGCTTCTAATACCCGCTCCACCCTGCACCTCGTCCTTCACTACAGGGACTAGCAGGTTTGTGACGTAGCCGGCCCCCCCCCCCCGCATCTCCCCACTTCCTGGAGTGTCCTGGGGGCTGCCCCTGGTGACCTGCCTTCCTTTCAGGCCCTGCTCCCCCTTAGGGACCTCGCACACTCCCTCAACTTTAATTATTACCCTGCAAGCGACAACTCTCGAATTCCAAACTGCCTCTGGGATGAGGTTTGGATGAGGTGAAAAACTGAAGGCAGCCTTAGCCACTGTTAGGGGGAAATTTTAAGCCGTATTTTTTTCTTTTTTTTAAAATAAAGTCTCACCCTCTCGCCCAGGCTGAAGTGCAGTGGCTCCATCTCAGCTTATTTCAAACTCCACCTCCTGGGTTCAAGCAATTCTCCTGCCTCGGCCTCCCAAGTAGCTGGGACTACAGGTGTGCACCACCACACCTGGCTAATTTTTGTATTTTTAGTAGAGATGGAGTTTTTGCCATGTTGGACAGGCTGGTCTTGAACGTCTGACTTCAAGAGATCTTCCTGCCTCGGCCTCCCAAAGTGCTGGGATTACAGGTGTGAGCCACTGTACCCAGCCTAAGCCCTGCTTTTAAGGCCAAGGGGCAGGGCACAGAGGCAGCAACAGGGACAGGGGTTGTTCAAGGCTCTCCACATAGTCAGATGGCAAACGACTGTCAGATCGCTGCCCTAAACTGGTAGGTCAACACCAGCACTCTGACTTCTAGAGAATCCTGCCCTTCACCAAATTTCAATTCCACCCCAGCAGTCCTTGCCCACTGTCAGTTCAGGACACCCTGACATTTGTCTCGAGCACTGGTCCCGACCTCTGATGCGTTAGGACCCTTTTTGAGAAGCTGCTGGGGGCCCTCCCGTCGACCCCCATCAATGCACTCTGCCCCCCGATGCTCTCTCGCTGTTTTACGTTCCCACGGGACTTCGGAAGCTCACGTTATACTAACAACCCCAATCCTAGTGAATCCCAGAAAGGAATTCAGACCTCTCCTTGGCCCTGAAGAGCTAAACATGAGCTTGTTTCTCTTCTCCTCCTCCCTGTTTTCTGGTCAGGGCTGAGCTGCGATGTGAAGGAACCGGAGTTGTCGCTGATACTTGATGTTGGTGGAGGGTGACGGCAGAAATGTCCTCAAGGCTGGCTCTGGCTGCACAGTGTCCAAACTGATGAGGTTTGGAAGCCTCAACAGTTAGAAAGCCAGCGCATGGCTCATTTCAAGGCTGGGAAGGCCTGGGAAACGTGTCATTTACCCTTTCTGTCTCCTTGCAGAACCCACTAGCTGACCTGCCCTTTCAGAGCTGCCTATGACTCTTTAGACCTCGCCTTCTCTGGGAGGGACCTCAGCCCTTGGCTTCTTCCTGGAACTGCCCTGCTGATCTCATCTCAAGGCACTTAGCATTTAGAAACTGGATATGGCTTTTTTAAAAAACACAACTGCCTGTCATGAAACGAAAATCTTAATTAAATCTTATTCCCAAAGTCGGAATTGAGTTCTCCCGGCCCCAGTAACGGACAGTTCCCCAGGGATCCTCCGTCCTTCGATGAGTATTGATTTAGGACCTCCGCTGTGCCAGAGGCTGCATGGGATGAGGGGGTGAAGTGACAAGAACGGGCATGGTCCCTGCCTTGAAGGTTTAGAGATGATGGGCCGATTAACAAAGATGCATTCATTGCAGGGCTGCTGTGCTCAGGCCTGGGGAGGGGGTGTCATGAAGAAAGGGGGTTCAAGGAAGAAAGCTGGCAGGTAGTAAAGGTCCGATTATTTCATGGGGGACAGCGTGGGAGGCTGACGCAGAGAAGCGGGGTCAAGGCCAAGATGATAGATGTGGACTGTGGGCCATCCCCAGTCTTGGTTTACCAGCTCACATGGGTGGGGTTTTGGGCTGAGCAGAGATCTGCCAGGGACCTGTAATCTATCAGAAAAGGTAGGAGTAGGGGCAAGACATATCCCCCTAGAATCCACCAGAAAGAGCATATTTGGAGCTGGGACCTTGGAGCCCCCAGCCCGAGATCCCAAAGGAAGTGTGTTTGCTGAGAGGCCCCAGCCCAGAAGCCTCATCCCAGCTGCGCTGTGGCTCCTGCCTCGGCGGGCGGGGGCAGCCCAGCCAGCTCACTTCTTACCCAATTGGCAATGTTCACAGTGCTCATAGTCCAACCCCGTCAAGCCAAATCCCACAGCCTGCTGTATAGAAAAAAAGGTGTCAGACATCAAGTTCCACTCCAAAGCCCTAAGGGAGTTGGCCAGCAGCCTGGCCGTACCCAGGACAAAGTTCTCCGGGCACTGGATCATCCGGCTTCTAGTTCAGGCTGTTTCAGTTTCGTGACCTTGGGCAAGTCCCTGGTTCTTTCTGGGACCCTGTTTCCTCAGATGTCACAGATAAAGGGCCTTCTCATTTTCTATCTGTGCTCGGTCATCTAGGGCCCTGGGCTGGAATCCTGCTCTATCAGGTAAGGGAAAGCCTGCCAACTTGGGTGTTGCCGGGCTCCCAGGCCCAAGGGGGTGGAAGAAAATCAGGAATAATCACGATGCTTGCTAGTAACGAACACGCACATCAGTCAAGGTTCTATGCACCTTACACGTGCGATCCTCATAAGAACCCAGTGAGGTACTATGACCATCCTCACTTTACAGATGAGGAAACAGGTACAGAGAAATTCTGGGAATTTCCAAGGTCCTTTGGTTAGGAGAGTCAGAATATAAACTTGGGCAAGTAACCCCAGGCCTACTGGGTGACTGGGGTGGAGCAGGACAGGGACAAGCGGCAGGGGGTGCAGACGGTCAGGCCCTTCAGGGCCCTCTGAACCCCGCGTCCAACCAGCCGTCATCAGACCCTTTTGGGAAATATTGTATATAAACAACGTACATGTATTAAATCGTAATTCAGGTATTTTCATTTCAGACACAGAGAATGCCACTTGGTGGTTTTGGTCACCACAGGGAGGGCGGTGTGACGCTCAGAGCCGACGTCATCCCAGCCCAAAGCAAAGACTACCAGAAAATCACCCACCCTCCATTGCTTGCCATTTTGATTTGAAGTGCCACGAGCGTGACGTCAGGTACTTCTCTCTCGGAAGAGTGGATGGGACAGCCTGTAAGTCCCAACTCTTATGACAGGTGGTTCTCTACCTTTCTTCCAGGGAGATGAGAAGAAAGAACACCGCCTATTCCTCAAACTCCAGAGGAACTTTACCGGGGTGGGGGTCGGGGGAGCTGGGGTGAGGCTTCCGCCAGTGAGCGCACTGCGCTCTGCAGAGGGCTGATTCTGGCTCACAGACTTGGTCCCGGGCATGGAGGAGCCCAGGGTTTGAAGAGCAAGATGAGAAAAGAAACACATACACAGCCTGAACATGTGAGACGCAGCTCTGAACGCAGCAAGCAAAGGGGCCAGGTGGTGCAGGCACAGAGCAGGGAGAGCCTAGCCCCTTAGGGAATGTTATTTCACTTTTTAAAAAGTGAGAACTCACATTTGCTGAGCACTTAGTACGTGCCAGGCACTGTTCCAATTGCTTCACACAGATTAACTCATTTGATTATCTCCTATCAAGAGGATACTGAATCATAACCCCTATTTTGTGGGGAAATGAAAGCACTAGAGAGATGAAATAATTTGCTAAAGATTATACGGTTAGTAATGGGGATGGTTGAGTTTTAAATTAACGCAATCTGACTTCAGATTACATCATCTTATTTCTTTTTTTTTTGAGACAGAGTATTGCTCTTTCTCCAGGCTGGAGTGCAGTAGCACGATCTCGGCTCACTGCAGCCTCTGTCTCCCAGGTTCAAGTGATTCTCCTACCTCAGCCTCCCAAATAGGTGGGATCACAGGTGCCCGTCATCACGCCCGGCTGATTCTTTTTTTTTTTGAGACGGAGTTTCGCTCTTGTTACGCAGGCTGGAGTGCAATGGCGCGATCTCGGCTCACCGCAACCTCCGCCTCCTGGGTTCAGGCAATTCTCCTGCCTCAGCCTCCTGAGTAGCTGGGATTAAAGGCACGCGCCACCATGCCCAGCTAATGTTTTGTATTTTTAGTAGAGATGGGGTTTCACCATGTTGACCAGGATGGTCTCGATTTCTTGACCTCGTGATCCACCCGCCTCGGCCTC